TCACTCACATCCATAAAGGAACGATCCGAGCGAGGCGAAAATGCCCACCAGAAACTGTGCAACCGATCAGCAAAGACGAAAGGCCATTCCTTCGTTAACGTCGATACTCACCTGGTACCATGCCGGAGAGAGACGCATGGTGATCTCAATCTGAAATCTCAAGCAATCCAAGTGCCCACTATGCCCTGAAAGCAAAACTCAATAGGTAGACCGGTGGACCAGATGCGGGGATTTCCCTGGGGTATGGGGTTCCGCAGGCCTTTAAGAACTTCTGGGGATCGGAAGCCCACATCCAGCACTAAGGCTCCGGAGCCTTTGACAACAATCTATGGGATCATGGCCCATAGTGTCTCGTGGTGGAATTCCGGAGCTCTTTCCCAAAAGCATGGTACGGGCGCCATAGCGTGTCAATAATTCCTGGATTCCACACCAATGAAGGAACATCCCATGAGACAGGATTCAATTGGCGCTTGACCGTTTGTGGGGGGCCGTCGTGGTGTGGCTTTCGGGATCGCGAGATACTCGTGCAAGCGCGAGCCCTGATTGATGGAAGATCTCGTGGCGTTGCCTCGGCTTCAGAACCAAGACGACGGCGCCGCACCTACGCATCGCCTGCACTCTCTACACATGATTCATGCCAATTTCCTGCATGGTCTGGAACAACCCCGCAGGAGATTTTCCCATTCCATTGCGATAGCTACGATGCGTGTGCAGCCCACATTAATTAGTTGGTGCTGTCCAGCTGCTTCCGCCACCGGTGTTGGACGAGTACTTAGTTGAGCACCATCTTCCCTCTTTTTCTACCAATCAATAACTTGGGCAGTTCAATTAACCACTTTACGGTTCAATTGTATGACATTTTAACGGCCGCAATAATGACTACCTTCACGAAACTTAGCGATCAGGAAACGCCTAGTATCGCCATCCACCCAACCCGGCGTATTTCCAAGATCAATCCCAACATCTATGCAGGTTTCACAGAGTAAGATTGGAGTTTTGCCTGTTTGGTACTAGGGCATCAAAGGAATTAAGCTCACGTATGATCGCAGACACATGGGCCGATGCATCTACGGCGGCATCTACGACCCGGGTAATCCCTTGTCAGATGAGAATGGCTTCAGGAAAGATGTCCTCGAGGCTCTGAAGACGCTCGATATTCCCGTGGTCCGCTACCCCGGCGGCAACTTTATGGCAACGTATCACTGGATCGACGGTGTCGGTCCTAAAGACCAGCGTCCTGCACGGTATGTTTGCGGTGATGAAACTTGTTACCCCTCCACTGTCCTCAAGCAGCATTGGCCTTTTCCGAGGATATCCTGGCCACTGGGAAGCTTTGAGCGCAATTGCTGACTATCAAAAGGCCTGAGCTGGCTTGGCTGGGCACAGAGACCAACCAATTCGGAACTGACGAGTTCCTCAAGTGGTGTGAAGTTCTTGGAACTGAGCCCTACTTCTGCCTGAACTTTGGAACTGGTACTCTTGACGAGGGTAGGCTTTGATCTCAACCCCATTATTAAAGTATTGTGAAACTAATCAGGTTTCTATAGCACTGGCATGGGTTGAGTATTGCAATGGTACTGGAAACACTTACTATGCAAACCTCCGCCGGAAGAATGGCCGCCAAGAACCTTACAATGTATGCACCTTTCTCATGCTGATAATATCGCTTGGCTGACATCACACGCACAGGTTAAATACTGGGCTCTCGGAAACGAGACCTGGGGGCCATGGCAGGTCGAACAGATGACCAAGGAGGCATACTCGCACAAGGCCTATCAATGGGCAAAGGGTAAATACCAATGTCCAATACCGCTATGAGGAAAAGTACTAATCAAGTTCCATAGCTCTTAAGCTCCTTGATCCCAGCTTAGTTCTGATCCTCTGTGGACAGGACGGTACCGCATCGTGGGACTACTATACCCTGAAGCATTGTCTGCTTCCCGTCAATTCGCCTCTATCTACTAGTGCTGTCCCCCTCATTGACATGCATAGTATTCATCTGTACACCTCATCATCATCTCATCTGCCCAATGCCACCGCCCCTCTGGCTGCTGAGCGTGCAATTGAGATCACCTCCTCTCTGATCGATCTCGCTAGGATCGAGAACGGAGTTCCTCCAGAGCAAACACGCCCAACCATCTGCTTCGATGAGTGGAACGTGTGGGACCCCATCCGCGCCGAGGGCAGCAAGGGTGCCGAGGAGTGCTACACACTTTCCGACGCGCTTGCTGTGGCCGTGTGGCTCAACGTCTTCGTCCGCAAGAGCAAGGACTTGGGCATGGCATGCATTGCGCAGACCGTCAATGTTATCTCCCCGCTCATGACCACCCCCGAGGGCATTACCAAGCAGACCACATGGTGGCCCCTGTACCTGTTCTCCAAGTATATGCGTGGCTGGACGATCAGCGCGCATCTCGAGAGCGCAACCTACGAGGGCGAAACCTCTCCCAAGTGGATCCGCGGTGTCAAGGAGACCCCGTGGTTGGACGTCAGCGCCGTTCTGGGCGAGGACGGCTACGTCAACGTTGCCGTGGTCAACATCCATGAGGAGAAGGCTATTGAAACCAAGGTTGATGGTGCCTTAGGAGAGGTCGCCGTGTTCACTGTCACTGGTGACAATGTCGCAGCGACTAACATGAAGGGCAAGGAAGAAGTTGCCGTGGTGGAGAGCACCTGGGACGGACAGGGTCCCTACGCATTCCCTAAGCACTCTCTTACCCTGCTGAGATGGAAGGCCTAGGTGTCTCTGGCAGACACCACCGTCATAATAGAAATGAACCAGATAGACTAGATAAATCCATTACATTTGTACCATCAAGATCCATCATCCACAGTCGTATATACATCATCACAGACAAAATCATCCCCTCAACCGAAGTTAACATCATGCACCGTGCCCTTATCATCCAAATGCACATTCAACCTGTCAACAAACCACATCAGCCCCGTATCTTTACCACTAGAGTGCACAAAAACCAAGATAAAAAAAAACAAACATACCGTTCAGGCCTATAATCCATAGTCATCATATCCCCCGGTTTAACAATGCGATGAGACTTGGGCAAATCCTTCTTTGCAAATGACTAGTACCAACAACCCACAAATTAGCCTGACGCCCTAAACCCTCACTCTCTAGAAAATATACTCAAGGGAAAAGAAAAACATACAGTAACATCACTCGTCCCTCCGTGATCGTCTTCCCGGCCAGCTTAGTGAGCCATTCGTTCTTATCGCCGTCGTTCACCTCGGGGATGACGAGAGGCATGGTGGAATGGGGTTTTCTGGTTTGGAATAGAGATAGTGAGAGTGGTTGTTGTCGGTTTGATAGTATGGGTAGTTTGGATGGTGGTCGAGAGGGAAATCGCATGAAATGATGGGAAAAGTGAGCGAGGTTGCCTGGAGCGGAGGGGGGTTTATCAACTTAATTTAATTTATACATCATCATCACGGGTCAACTGGCGATGATGTCATGGGAAGGCTTAGCAAGGTCCCTTTCTTTTTGGGGCTAGTACGTTACTCGGGTGGATTGGATCGGCCGGCCCGGTGGTATTGTGGTATGGGTCATTGTCATACGATTGATTACCATAGATGTCTATTTTGATGGGATAGACGACGTAGTACCAAACAGCTACCAACTGTTGTGCCAACGGATGAAGGGGTAGGCTATATAAGGAAACTCATTCATGTAGTTGGTTTAGTTATTCGCGGTCAATTCTTATTCTAGTTACCGGATACTAGCAACACCTTGGCACAAGCGTATGGCGACCAGATTTAGCAATCAATAGTAGGTCCAGTTGAGTATACCTCTAATATATTCTAGATGTCGAAGATAAGTCGCACTTAACCAAGAGAGCTAACTTGTCGCAGAGTCCATAGACTCATAATATATTCAGCAAGGAGATACATATGTTAAAAATACCCATTGCGAGCAGCGAGTAGTTTTGCATAGGTCTTCGATAACCATAATTCGCTAGCGTTGTGCCGAAAAGTAGCAATGCCAAAGATACTATACAAGAAATTAGCAGATTGACTATGCAGAGGGTAACAATGAGAATCTCGTACAACTCGGACGATATCCCAAGAAATATGTGATAAGGGACCAAAGCAAGAATGCAGAGGAGCCGTAAAGTGTCCCTATTGTAAGAAATGAGTACTAGTCTATACGATACTCTACACATTTCGCGTGAAAGCAAACTTACAGTTGCAGATGATACCAATATATGACTGCTCCCAGGCAACTTCTTTATCTTCACGGATACTGTTGAAAAGACAAAGCCCTATATCCACTCCCAATACCTTCTGGAGATATTCTAACGTTGCATCGTGAAGCTCAGAGCCCCGCCCTAATCGCCAGGAGCGGGCAGCCTCGTCGGCAAAGTTCTCCTCTGTTTTATGCTTGGATGTGAGGGTCTGTCTGATATAAGTCCGGACTTGTTCTGGGCCAGCGGATCGATCAGGAATTCGAGTCATTCCGACGAGAAAACATAGATTCTAAGTGGATTCGCGACATTCAAGATGATTTGCAGAGCCGAGGCTCTCATACTTTGAGATTCTCTGGATCGTGCATTTAGCGCAGGCCACGATACACTAGAGTAAAGATAGGTTTAGTGTAGGGATAATATTGATCCGAGATGTTTTATATCCAGAATTGCTTAGTGCCTCCAGCGATCTGAGCATCTGGCGCTTGGTTCTATCTCGCTAAGATGCCGCCGAGCTTCCCACTAGGGCTTTTATGAGGGACTAGTCTGACGATCTTCCAGTCGATGCTCTAACTTTCAATAGTAAATATTAGTGAATCTACAGGTTCCATAGTTGAAATGCCGATCCTGATTTCTTAGTAAAAAGATGCTTGTAGGATGTCTCCCTTTCAGTTAATAAATAGTGTGCTTTCCCAATTGCTCCATTTTACATCAATTTTTATCTCCTTGACGTCCAAGTTCACTATTCCTCCCGATTTAGAACAGCCCTATTATCCCTATACTTACCAAACTTACGTCAACATGAGGGTTCTCGCGTTATGCCTCGCTCTAGTTCCAGCCCTTGCTGCGCCCCTCAATGAGCCGGGGAGTAGTGATGGCATTAACGGCTATGGCAATGTGGGCAATAATGGTAACGGTCTACATGACAGTCACAATGGCGGCAATAATGGCAACAGTCAACATGGAAATGGCAGTGCCGGCAGCGCAGGCCCCGTTTGCAGTGGAGCGCTACTCAATAGCCAAGCACAGTGTTGTACGACTGGTATCTTAAACTTGGCCAACACAGACTGCAAGCCAGCGTGTAAGTAGACAAATACACTGCGGCTGCCATTTGGCAAACCTGCTTACCTCGACCTCAGCTCGATTGTATAGCAGCACCGATGATTTTAAGGCTGCTTGTGCTTCCGACGGCCGAAGCGCCCAATGCTGCTCTATCCCAGTTGTAAGTTACAAAATCCCACCTCATATTTGTTATTTGTTACCGTTGTGCTAAATGCATTCTTATGTCAGGCTGGCATGGCTTTACTGTGTAACCCTGTTGCTTGATCCAAATTGTCATAACGTGCTTCAAATGTTTGAAGGTCCACAGAATGGCGGAATAGCAGCACCAGGAACGGAGTCCCTTGATAGAATTGGGACTAATGGAGGGGTCATCGTGTTTACCTTGTTGTTTTCGCATGCAGCGTACTGTTCAAGATATATATTCTCCTATAATAGTCCTACGAGAGCTTAATTTCACTTGAAGACCTTTCTTTCAGGTTGAGAGTCGCTAAACATAGTTCCCTAATCCAAGGGCGTGAGGTGACATACAGGCTACGCCCCAGTTCCTCTATACGACAGCTTCAACCCTATCGATAGACTATCAAAGCCCCGTCTTTATCATCATGCAATCCCAGGGCGCTGAAGGGAAGGTACACTACGGGACGCTCTTGCCTCAAAGGAGGACATCACATTCGTGTCTCGATTATTCTTGAACTTTGATTATGTCCATGACGGTCATTCTGTCACTTTGCTGCTTCGAGTCCATTCGCTCTTTTTGTGCCTCTAAAGCCGTACTCTGTCGCTCAATGTATCGCTCCAGCTTCTTATAGATCCTTACTGAGATGCGACTTCTTCATTCTTATTACCATTTCGGGGTCGTTCGTTGGAGGCAACTTGCAGCGGCATCATCTACTCACGTCTGGTGAGAATACCAGTGGCAATCTTGAATTCTGCATTTTCGTCTCTTCGACTTCCACTTGGCCCGCGACAGCGAATTGGCTATCATGCCGTATACACAAATGGGATCTCAGTCGAGTTGGATGAAAGAATCACAAATTGCACCTATTGTTCAGGAAAGCATCGTTGCAAATGAGCGGATCAGGGAAGCGAGACACGCACTCAAGCATCAGGTACCCGACTACTATAAATTAGTAAAGCGCATACCAACCTTAACCACTATTGAGAAACCAACAAAAACCGTCAAGGTGCCTTCGACAAGAATCGAGTTCCTCAAACGTTCAGTAGAAGAATCTCCCAGGCCAACGACAACCCACAACAACTTAGTCCCACACTGGAGCTATGAAAAAAACTCCCTCGCGGTAGCATGCGTCTTCAGTGCCATCACCGTGCTAGGTATCATCTTCCTCGGCGTCGTCTCCGTCCGAAAGATCCGGAGAAGCTGGAAGCGCCACAAGCGCGAAAAGCAAGACTACGCCGCTTTCAAGCATCGAATCGACTTAAACAGAAGCAACGGAGATTCGAATGCCTGTTTGATACCCGAACACAAGTCGAGTCGCGAATCGATGATGTATAGCCGTGATAGCTCACCGTCGGGAGGTTACGTCGTCGAGCAAACAGGGGGATCGGTTACCCGAGTGTTTCGCGAAGGCAGTAATGTTTCGAGCCAGACGTTTGATTCTATCGGTGCTTCGCCGGAAAAAAGGAGTCCTCCACGCGAGAATAAGCGGGCTCCAGGAGGCCGGGCGGATTCGCGTACGCCCTCGGGGAAAGGACGTGCTGGTTCGATTCCGAGACCGATTGTCGTGGTGCCATCTCCACTAAGACACGTTTCCTCGCAGAAAGCCACACCTGTGATGCAGCCGACTGGCCCCAGCACACCTGATTCTGAGCAGTCCCCCGTGTCCCTGGCTTCTCCGCAGGATACCGAACTGGTGGGTAGAACTTCCAGTCGCAACTCATTGTTTCGGTTGCCTTCTATCAAGAAATCTATATCTCCTTTGTTCAGTCTTTGAGAGATCAACGTTGCTTCTTCTGGGTCAAAGTGATACTACACACCTGCACCCGTTGGGTTAACGAGCAGAGTACGACCCTTGGGCATGCTTTATCGATAAAAACTTGCTACGAGTATGTTAATCAAACCAGATCACTTATTGTATGCCGTTCACTCTTTTGGTTTATGTTTATGCGTGGATTATTGGTTGGTATGTGTGGCCTTGTGAGCTGGTTTCGTTCCTTGCTTTTTTCTCTGCTCGGGTTCTTAGGCTCTAGAGCCAATATATGCTCCCCCAAAAAGGGCTTTCAATCCTACAGGGCTATTCGTCTTATTTGCAGTGGTAGAGTACCCCCTGAGCCTGTAGAACAACTCCTATCCTGAGACATACCATCCTGTGAACCAGTACTGTAGGTATTTCTCACTACCATATCTCCAGCTGCTATCCTATGATAGGCAAAGCAGCACAGAGCGAACAAGAACCAGAATCTTACTCTTAGCTACCTTATCCCTTTGAGTATTCACTGCAAAGAGTAAGCATTCTATATGTAGATTAGTATTCTTCCTGATGATATCTGAAAGATTCCCAGTTACCTTAAGCATGCCTGACCCCATACTTTCTGTCATCCCAACATCATACATAGTACATCAACATCCACATTCGGAACCCAGAAGACATACTTCTGCTACCACTCACCATCTGTATGACTCCATGTATCAACATGTATACCTCGCTACATGATCTAGATCTGATACTCACACTTCCCCAGGCATAAAGTCGGGATATCATCGCTACCACAATACAATTATTACTTGATAATATGTATAGTCAGCTCGAATACCACGGTTTTGTAATGACAGACAGAGGGTATGGTATGTCCAAGATCAACCACCTACATATCTAGACACTTCAATAGCTAGTCTCTAACAGGCTAATAGAATCTTGATCGATTGATTGACTGGTATCTCCAAGTCGAGAAGGCCACTGTAGCAGGTCTTGGTAGAAGTTAGTAATGGGGGTATTATAGTTGTTCTATACTTACCGTGGTTTGGGGCATGGTTTCTACGTGGAAGGTCACTTGGTATACGTAGTGGTTGAGTGTATGGACTAGAGGAAGGTTGTGTTTATTTTGTATAGTGATAACCACTTGATTGTAACTTGGTATATCTTGTTTAGGAAGATGTATCTGTGCATCAAGGGTTGTGTGGATGTATATAACTATAGTAGTGTTGGTGCTTTATTCGGAATTCCTTGGCTTCCATGCAGGTCAGGACTTGTGTTCGTCAGATACTTGTTTACATCGGGCTAAAAGGCCTGGTTCAAGTTGTGGAGCTTGATATTTACTCCAGATACAATGGTTACTAGCAGTGGGAAAGATATCTAGACGCAAATCATGTACTTCTATCAACATGTTCACAGACTATAGTACCACAGAAGCTATTTTGACAGTAGGGAGCGGCACTGTCTCCTCCTTGGGCAGGATCAGACAGGACCGTCGTGCCTCCTCTTGTAGGGCATACTCTCGCAGAAACTCGGGGTCGGTCAGCCCAAGTGCCTTGAGAATGACCTGTTCTGTGTCCTGCACCACCGATAACATATAAAAATGAGCCGACTTGTGCAGGCCACACCAATCTTCCCAGTTTGCGACCGTGACTCCGTCGAGACGGATGTTGTATCTTACTTTACCTTTGGAGAAACGTCCCCGAGCCTTGCTGAATCTGTACCGTCTATAGTCCATATCCTCAAGGCTCGGCAACAGTGGGCCACTGGGTCTCGCGTGGACTACACAAAGAATTGCAGCGGTCAAGAGATAGTCATTTCGGCTCATCGTCTCATAAGCCGTCGACAAAACGCGAGCGTAGGGCGGCATGATGAACTTGAAGTCACAAATCGATGCCATGTCGATTTCTTGGTAGAGAACATGGACAATAGTGTCAAGGTAGCTCCCAGTCCAGTTCCGGCTGAGGTGCTTAAAGAATTCATAACATAAATGTGGCCTGAGCAAAGGGTCTAGTATTGGCAGATAGCACCAGGGTGTGTGCTTTGAACCCTGATTGCAATGGCCGACATAAATGATTTGGCCGGGGTTGTATCGGTAGAGTCGCATCTCACTGAAGATCCACGGGCGGTAGAGGGTCTTTTTGAAAGCCTCGTCGACTTTTTCATAAGCAGCGATCACAGTGATAGTCTTGTACAGTGTCGAAAAAGCCAGAACTTTTTCTATCAGGGCATCGCCGTCTAGGGACTGATCGATGGAGATCTGATCAATGAATAAGTACTTGATGGACATAGTCTTGGCAAGATGTACTGCGCTAGCAATATTTCGAGAACTGTGAATATCGCCATCCCAGCGCCACGATAGGATGGCCATGTGCGACATATTCTCGGTGGTAATCTTCACCAGTTGCACCGGCACTGGTTTTGTTGCTCTTCCCAGCTGCTCACCGTGTACGATGGACTCTTCATCAATCTCGTCGACCACCAGTGCCATAAATTCAGAAGAGGGCTGATTAGCAAAGTCATTTTCAGGGGGCGTGGGGACTTCTGATGTGATTGTCGCGGTTGTGTGTTGTAAAGATTCAGCTGAGTTATTGGGGTCGCTAGCTGGGTACAGCCACTTGACATTTCTAGGCGTCAGCGGCGTGAACATAGAGGTGGAGGTAGCTACCTGCCCTCACCTTGACTTTTGAAGTGACGCGGAAGTCTATATTACTTCTGTCCATAGAACCCTTCATTGTGTCACTGCAGCCAATATTCGCCATGGTTGTGGTCGATATTGTGACATACTGGATTCAAGAAAAGACATGAGCCTGGTCAGAGGCTTAGCGCGATCGACAAGGAGGAAGCTCAGCCTGGCTGCGCCCTCGTTATTTGATTGGACATTTTGGAGGTGGTCATAGAAAGCCTGCAAACAGAAGATATCTCATACAGTTCCTCATATCATCATTAAAAACGCCTATCCTCAGTACAGGAGAAGAGCTAGAAGAATGGATAGACAACACCTCGCAATAAACGCAAATGATAAGAACATGCCCCTAATTCTACAACGAAGCGAACAGTCGAAGACAAACAAAAGTCTATTAATTATGCAGCACGATCATCAGACTGACGCACACTCCTCAGACACCGCTCAAGTCTCTTTCCTCGCTCCTTCTCACGGACAAGAGTGGCCTTTGCGAAAGCGCGGATCGCGTCTCGACCGACTTTCTCTCTCCAGGTTGTCCAGCCAGCTAGTTCACTAACGACCACATCTTTGTTCCAGGTGATCTCGCGGGAAAGGCGGGCGATCTGGGTTTCGGATTCTTGGATCTTGTTCTCTAGTTCGCGGACGGACTTTTGGCGGGACTCTTCAAGACCGGGGAAGTTGAGGTTGAATTTTCTAGGCAGGGACGAAGAAACCAGGGAGGACCGGGAGCGGGAGAGGGAGCGTGAAGTAGATGTGAGGGTGGATATTACGTTGATGGGGCGGGAGAGGGAGTCTAGAATGGCGGATGTGGTGTTGTCAATGGAGGTGACGGTGTTGAGGAACTGGAGGAGGGGAGAGGAGTCGGATGAGGAGGTCGAGAGGTAAGAGGCATAGCGGCAAAATGCATCGACGTGGGACTGGGGAAGAGCGTTGGTAGGTTCCTTAAGGGTTGAGATGGCGGAGGAACATAGGCCCAGTGCATCGGCTATGTCGGAGGCGGAGTTCTGGAAAGCGTAGCCACGACGGATCAGACTGCGCGTGTTGGCATGAACGGCGCGAACCATGTCTTGTGCGTGTGTGACGAATTGCTCCGTCTCGCGCATACCCTCCTGGGTGACGGGCTCGTAGTCGTCTGCGATTGACTCGTAGAGAACTTGCGCTTTGCGGCGAGAGCGATCTGCCATCATCTCCGGCTGGAGTTCTGGAACGAGGAAGAACTCCCAGAGCATTTCGTGGGTTGAGAAGGTTGGGTGAGAGAGTAAAATCTTGAGAAACCTATCTAGTTTTGCCTGCATGTCGTGAAGAACCGAGCGAGATGGCTTCGAGTGAATCTGGAAGGGAGAGCGGAAATCGGAGAGCAAGGGCATGTATGAGGCGGGGTGCTCAATAGAAAGCCATTTGGCGAGATTTTCAAAGTCAGTAAATGTACGCTTACATGTTGTGACAGTGTAGGTGGTGGTCGGTGCCAGTCGGGATTCTGCAGAGTTCGGTGGAGGGTTGGGGGCCCCGGACTTGAGAACAAAGCGTACAGTTGCATCTTCCACGAAGAATGAACGGACTACAGTGGTGACCCGACCGGAGGGGTCGTCCGTGACTGCAGGTGGATTGGAGATGAGGATGAGATCATCGATGCGGTTTCGCACTTCATCATCCTTCGCCAGTTCAACAGCCGTAAGTCCGCGGGCCTCTTTAAGATGCACATCCACCCTAGGGTCCATGAAAAGAATCCGAACTTGGTCGATGCGGCCATATTTGCTGGCCATCATCAAAGGGGTGAACCTCTTGTCATTCGTCGCATTTGGATCACAGTCGCATTCTTGCAGGATCCTAATGGTAATGTCAGGGTCGCTGACGATATGTAGCAAGGTATTCCCTTTCGCGTCAATATGATCGTCCAAACGTAATGGTCGGCCATCGCCTTGAGATTTCTGAGCAGCCGTCAACGCCTCCTTAACCATCGAGCTGTAGTCAGGGTGGTCGTAAGATCTACATAGAGCAAATAGCGGCGTCTGTCCATGCTTATCACGTTGGCGCCATGGAAGCAATGTTTCCAGCTTACGCATCACCGAAGGGGTGCTGAAGAGATAATGAGCGACAGTACGTCCATGAATATCCGACTTCCTCAAGTAGGAGACGATCGTTTGCTCGTCTGTTGTGTTGAAGAGGTAGTCGAGTATAATGTCAACCATCTCAGGGTGCGCGAGTTGGACAGCTGCATTTAGCAACGTTGTCCCATCCGTATTTGTATCGTCAAGAATGTCTTCCAAGGGATAGTACTCCTCCAGAGTAAGCAGATAGTTCAGGGCTTCTGGTTGACGATTCTCGACTGCCATCATGGGAATCGAATGACCTGCGGGATCCTGGGTCTTGGTCAACGTCTCAATAGAGCTGTCTCCTTCGATCGTACTCGTCATGGACCCCATCGTAGTCGTACGAGAAGCGAACGAAATAGCTGAGGACTCAGATAGACTGCGGACATCCATAGATACCTTCTTCTTGATAGGGCGCCGGATTGCCTCCGGTGGAGAGCTGCTTGCCCATGTCTGAAAAGGGAATACGTGTGCTAAAGGTGGTGTATCCGATGGGGTATCATGGACCGCTAGTTCACTATTGCTTTCGTTGCGCCCACCAAGGATGGGCAGGGACAATGAGAGTCGAGTATATTCATCGTTCTCGTCGGTTCTAAATGAAAATCGACTCCCTTCAGGCTCACACGGTATATCATCTATCGATTCTTGACTACCGTCTGGTTCCAGGATAGCCCTCATATCAGCAATTCGTCCACTTTTGGTTGCATTCCATAGGCGCTTGTTCCGAATGCTCGACCTTCGAAGGCCTGCTGAATCAGTCACAAGGTACGTGAGAACTGCTTCAAAGGTACTCAGAGCGTAGCCCATTTCTCCGCTGTCGACGTCGTCAACATAGATGAAGTGCTGCATATACAACAGTCGTGCTTGTAAATGCTTGGTCTGAGATCTAATGACCACGACAAGCAGCAATGAGACCAAAACATCAGCGTTCACTGTTACAGGTGCATTCCGCTTCTCAGATGCTTGTGGGTCGGCTTTATCATAATTGCCAGGATACGACAGAATCTTTACTGTTTCCAGCAAGATGCTCAGCATATCATGGGGACATTTTGCATCCAGCATTTTGCGAAACTCCTCCACTGCTCTACCAAGGCGCTTCAGTAATTCCCGCTTGCCTTCTCGGCCACCCTCCACGACTATGCCCACCTGCGAAACGTCTATACTCTCCATCTGGCGGATCCTAGTATCCAACTCAGTATCCTCGGGCTGGCGGAAACTACATAGACGGGGGAACAGAAGAGATTCGTGCACCTGCTCCGCGACGTAGCGTTCGATCAATCTCTCGACGAGAGGTCCAGTCAGGTCAGTCGTGGCACCGAGAAAAGACAATTGCTGTTTATCTACTAATCGAAAGAGGTCAATGGCTGCGGTGACCGCTGTCTCTAGGCTGCGACGCATGAGATCCTCATCATCTTCAAAATACTCTTCCGAGTTGAATGGCAGCCCATCTTTGAAGCGTGACGATGAACTGCGCACGGAAGCTGTCTCGTCGATAGGTGCATCATCGCGGTCACGTTTCCAATCAAAATCTTCGGACAGTACAGGTGAGCGTGATGGAGGGGGAGGTAACGGTTTGCCTAATTCTTTTCCAAATTCCCGGAATAATCTCTCTAACCCAGGTTGCATCTGCCTTGCGATCATTGGAAAATGTGACAATAGTTCTGCAAAGGTCTTGATCTCCTTCTTTGCGGGCGAGGAGACCGGCTCCCCAGACTTGGCACTGTTGCCTGAAATACTCCTCTTTGGCAGTGTCCCTGGCACCACAGCAGAAATGATCTTGCCGGGTTCGAACGAGCCGATCAATGGTCGGGAGATGTAGTAGATAAGCCATGGTTGGGACCCATTGCTTGGTGTGTAATAGAGGGCGTCAGACAGCAGCTGGGCTTGGGTTAAAGACTTGAACCCTAGAAATGTGGTTTAGCACATGCGAAGAATTAAACAATATTTTCCCTTTCCCACCTTTATTGCTGTAAACTGAATTCTCTTTTATGATCACAGTGCGGCCATTCACGGTAGTCACCTGCTTTGCCTTCCCCCTACTGTCGCGGACATTCGTGTCATCCTTTGTTCCGGTGGTTCCATTTGTGACGGGAATTCGGAGCGCATGGCTGCCTAGAAACTCTTCGGAGACGACGAGATCGGAATAGTAAAGAGACGACTCGCGATCGCGGGAGCCGATGAGCGATTCGGTCACAGGAACGAGGAGAACCTAGAGAATGATGTTAGAGCCTGTCACTGGAGTATAGCCCCGCATAGCTCCGCTGAACGTACATGGTTCTCCGTTGGTATACACTGCCCCGGAACAGTGCTTCGGAAGAAGGCACGCAGGAAAGGATTTAGAGGGTGCATCCAAACGGTCTTGGACGACGTCCCAGTGAAAGAGCTCCGGACTTCATCAAGTCGCTGTGTTTCAATTCAAGAGGGGATTTACGCTGCTCGATCGCCACAGGGGAGGAGCAGCTCCGGCGCATGTGCTTGCGGGGGAGATCTGGACAGAAACTCAACGTAATGGGAAATGGCGTACTCAAAGCTAAACACACGAGAGATAAAAAACAAAAGATGCCGCAAAGAATGTAAATCCCGGGGAAATCAATGGTCCAGGGCAAGGAGAAGCAGCGTTTCAATTACAACAGCTTTCGCGGAGGCCGCAAGAGCTCCTCGCGCTATACCGCATTAGGCAATCTAACTTCTTGACGGATTGGAATCTAGATAACGTGATGGCATGGCATAGAACGACATATAGCAAGTAAACTATTGAATTACAAGATATGGGATAAATATGAAGATCTCGCGTAATTGAAAATATCCCGTGGATTCCCGGTACCAAATTGGCTAATATACAGATATAAGTGACAGAACGAACCATTTCAGGAGAGCTTCTTCTCTTTCCCTCCAATAAATCCAAATACAATGCTGGGCTGTGAGTCGTTTATCAAAGCTACAAACATTTCGCATGGCATGTAGCATTTTCCGCCTCCACTCAGGATATATATGGATCGAAAATGGCCTCACGACATTGCTCCTTCAACCACAGCATTCCCAGACGGATGTACGACCAGAGAGGATCACCCCGAAACCCAAGATATGAAAGAGTCTAACCCAGCCTGCGCTCCTTCCTGCTTCTGGTACCACCAAACTTTATACGAGTCGAGTCCGTTACGCGACTGACGAGCCCACGAACGTTCTTACCCTCGTTACCCAGCAGAACCTTGGTGAAGGCCTCACGACCAAGTCCAAACCCGCGAAATACGACCTCTAAACGATTGATATCAAGAAGATAGCCCCGTTCCTGCATCTGACCGAACACATGGGACGTCAATTGGTATGCCGGGTCGTATCCCGAACGGTGCCCTTTGCGGAAACCGAGATGGCCGCAGCTCATTGATAACAGCGGGTTGCCATTAGGACGTGTCAACGTCAAAATGGTGTTGTGCTTATGTGAGAAGACGTGTAGGTGATGCGGAGGAGCACGGTCGGCGTAGGGTTGCTTAATCATTTCGGCCTCCAGGCTCTCTGCCATTCTGGAATAATCACGGCTCACATTCTGATTTGTGCGAGTCCTCTCTCCCTGCATCATCTTGGTGATCGCGGAGAGGGCAGAGTTCTCGTCAGTGGCTGCCTCGGGCTTCGCATTCAGAATCTGCCTCTCAATTTGCCGGTTCTTGCCTTTAGCATCCGACGCGGATGTTGCATGGGTTGAGGAGAACGGTCTGATGAGCCGGATCGAAGAGGTACGAAGTTGGCATTGCCGACCAACTGAAGGCAATGCCTTCAACAGGGAACTCGCAAACGTGGTGTTCATCTTTTGCTAGGGAGGCAGAAATGCCGGGGATATGCGGCGAAGGTAGTCGGAACGAGCGTGGCGGATGAGACCGACCAACGCAAGGAAAACAGGAGGGTGATAACACAGCTATGTCCTGCTAACGAAGGCAATTGGGCAATCCTAAGTAAATAGGTCGATCTGGTCGCAAAGTACCTCGGGCGGTTGGGATCGTGAACGGCGCAACGGTGGTTCGGGACAGAAGGCGGCGGAAAAGGGCCCGAATTTTCGAGTCTTGGCATTTGCATCTCAACTTTTTCTTTCTCCCTCTCCATCTCTCCATTGACTCCGCAGCCGAAATCGCTTCTTCCTCGCCTCCACATCCGACTCCTCAATTCCCCCTTCACCCTCGGGGCGTTGCTGACCTCATACTCTTCTGACTCCTCCTTTTCATCCTCTAGCATCTATTCATACCATACATAGCATGATTTCGGCTACTAGAATGTCGGCCACCGCGCGGGCGGCCACCTTGCGGTCTCAAGTACCGAGTTTGAGAACAGCTGCTTCTCAACGGTCATCCATCCACTCTTACTCGACATCGCCTACAGCCAGAATCTCCCTTTCCTCCAATACTGAACGCGCAAACCGTCCTCTCTCCCAAATCCTTTCCCCGTACGCTGCTCTTCCTCTCACGCGATCTTTCCATGTCAGCACTTCCCGCTGGCAACAACAAGAACAGAAGAAAGAGAAGCAATCCGAGGAAGCTAAGGAGGAAAATGACGAAGGCAAGTCTAAGGAGGAGAAGGATGAAGGCAAGTCTGAGGAGGAAAAGAAGAATGCGCCTCCTCCCCCTCCTCACGGAGACAAGACTCCCTGGCAGGTCTTCAGAGAGACTCTGCAGTCAGAGCTCAAGGCCTCCAAGGAGTGGAACGAGTCCACTAAGGCTCTTGCATCTTCGGCACACCAGTCACAGAGAATGAAAATATTAAGAAGGCTCGTGCCGCCTATGAAGCCGCCCATGGAGCGGCGGCGACTAAAACCGGAGCTGCCTTGAAGACCACCGGTCAAGCCCTCGGCAAAGGAGCTTCCTGGACATGGAATACTCCCGTCGTTAAGGGTATCCGAAAGGGTGTTAACGCGACCGGCTCTGGAATCGAGAAGGTGACGCGGCCCGTGAGAGAGACGGAGGCCTACAAGAACGTCAAGGAGGCCATTGACGATGGCAGTAGCTCCCGCTATGGTGGTTATATTGAGAAGGAGGAGCGCCGCAAGCTGAGGAAGCAGCGTGAAGAGTTGGAATTGAAGTCTGGTAAGCGGGTCGAACCCATGGTTGAAGATCCAAAGTAAGTCGTTCTCCCCAGATGGCATCGGTCGTTCTGTTGCTAACCATGCGCTCCCTCCTAGTGCCGGTACCAACGTCACACTTCATAAGGACTCTGCCTGGAAGGAGTCATGGCGCGACTTCAAGGACTCCAACCCTATGATGCAGAAACTATTTGCTTTCAAGGAAACCTATAACGAGTCTGAGAATCCGTTGATCAGCACCGCCCGCAGCATTTCCGACCGCGTAGCTGGATTCTTTGCCGAAAATGAAACTGCCCAGGTCATTAAGAAGTTCCGTGAAATGGATCCTAACTTCCAGATGGAGGAATTCTTGCGGGAGATGCGTGAATATATCCTTCCTGAGGTTTTGGACGCGTACGTGAAGGGAGACGTTGAGACCCTCAAGCTTTGGCTCTCCGACGCTCAGTTCAGCGTCTACGCTGCCCTCGCCAAGCAGTATACAACTGCCGGCCTCAAATCCGATGGTCGTATTCTCGATGTCCGTGGCGTTGAAGTCATGAACGCCCGTATGTTGGACCCTGGTGATATTCCTGTGTTCGTGGTGACTTGCCGTTCACAAGAAGTACATGTGTACAAGAACGTGAAGACCGGCGAGCTTGCCGCTGGTATGGAGGATAAGGTCCAGCTGGTCACTTACGCCATTGGTCTCACAAGGATACCTGAAGATGTTAACAACCCGGAGACCCGCGGTTGGAGACTGATCGAGTTGCAGAAGGCTGCTCGTGACTACATCTAAACGGCCCCGAACAGATTCCTCCCTTCAGCGTATCCATTCTTCCTCATTCGACGATCATATTATAACCGACCAACCATGTCTTGATTATCGGCGATTTTTGATGAATCACCTCCCCAATATTTCTCTTCTCCATTGTTTTGATATCATCCGACTGTACAATATGAACTTTCCAAAACTCATAGAGCCAGGTGGAACCAGTGCTTCATGTTATGTGTGATAGTAGCCATTGCTAATTTTTCTGGATGTTCTTGCTTTCTTCCATTTCTCTCTTTATATCCATTTCCCCGACTGCTGCCTCTGTGGTTTCGACTTCGGTACACACGACTGGATGGCGATATCTGAGCGCACGGTAACAGTGTCATTTCCATACATAAGTTGGTTTAATGGTCTGCCTGGCGTATTCGGCGTTTCTGCTATTGACTACAAGATCAACGCTCCACTCTCCTCATCACTTGCATCTGGATATGTCCAGCTTGTTTGCCAATATATATTTTAGTCCTATAGCAACGAGAAGTCTTAACTTTTTTTGAATTTTTCCCCTACCTTACTCAAGAGACTCATTCACTATAAAAAAAATCTACCCATGTAAAATCGCCTGGAATTTCAAAGGGAACTGAATGTGGTTACCGCTTTGGCATAATCGTGGGCGTAACTATATATTTATGATTATTCCGTAACATAAGAACCAAGTTTTCCAAGATATACATAGCCAAGGTTAAGTAAAAATATATAATATGAATGATTCCTTTAAAGCAAACGAGATACCCGGACTTTAATAAACATCAGAGCAGTTTCTTATTCATTGGCCACGTCCGGCACCACCTGCACCACCACCGGCACCACCACCGCCCATCAGATTCCGAGCCCTGCACAAGTTAATTAGCTTCAAAGCCACATCATTATTTCCACAGATGTAGGACTTACATATCAGCGATGCTAGGGTCACTCATCAAACTCGACATATCTGGCATTCCACCGCCACTGCCGAAGTTTTCTGCCATCTGCCTCAACTGAGGGTTGCTCATGAGGTTGTTGAGCATGTCCGGGTTGCTCATCAGATTCTGGGCCATGCTGGAGAACATAGGGTTACTCATGAGGGAGCCAAGGTCGGGCATGCCGCCACCACGACCGCCGCCACCGCCCATCAAGCCAGCGAGGGAAGAGAGATCTGGCATACCGCCGGCACCACGGCTTGCTCCGGCAGCATCGTCAACAGCATCAGCAGGAGGTTCGGCACCGCGAGTAGATTCTGCAATCTTCCTCTTGGAGGTCTCCAAGCCTCTCTTCATGGCCTCGCTGCCACCATTACCTTCAGCTTCGATACCCTTCTCATAGGCCTCCTTGGCGCCGTGGAAATCAGCCAGGTCAAAGCGAGCAAGACCCAGGCGGCTCCATGCCTTAGAATACTTGGGGTCGACGGCTGTGGCGAGCTCGGCATCCTCGGCTGCCTTCTCGTGTTGACCGGAGGCGGAATAGGCAGCAGCACGGTTGGAGAGGTAGATAGGGTTGGAGGGGGCAATCGCCAAAGCCTTCGTGTAGAGATCGATAGCGGAGTTGTAGTCCTTGCGCGCCATGGCAGCGTTACCCTCCGACTTAAGCTTATCAGACTCAGCGGTAGGGGCACCGGTCTGGGGCTTCTGGCTCGAGCTGGCCTGCGCACCGGCACCAGCAGAGTCACCCTTATTGCGGAGCTTCTCGTAGACACTGTAGATGCTTGCAAGAGACTGACCGCCGACAGCTTCCTTCACAGCAGCCTCATCGGAAGGGTCAACCTTGAAGGTATCCGCTATGCACGACTGAGCGATCTCGATCGATTCTGCGTCATCAGCAGTAAGGGTTCCATCCTTCAAGCTGGAGCCCAGAAAGTCGATGATTGCGAGCGCCAGGCGCTTCTTGGACTCGGTAGGAGCCTAGAGATGGAGCAAATTAGCACGGACATCAGAACAAAAGATGCGCAACAGAGGACTCATGCCATGATATGAAAATTAGCCGGGATATCGCGGTAAAAGGGCTTCGCCTGTCGGAAGAAAGATCACCGTCGCGGGGGATTTTGGATGCGGGGACTAAAGCAGTAACTGTACTGTTTGGCACGTTTGCCTGCAAGCTCCCGTGCACGTGATAGCCGTTGCTGCCGTCACCCTCAACGTTCGGTATACACTTGCGTTTGTATGTCGCAGTCGGAAATAGTATTAGATGATTATGGTCGGTTATCCTCGGATTGACTCTGTCCCGAGTCCGACAGAATAACTCTTCTACGTCCGACGAAGATGACTCAATGTCAGCTCGCTCTTCACGACTTTCTCACCTGTGACGAGCCATGTACTGGCCCAATGGAGTACCTCGGGTCTATGCGGTCAACGGCCCTGCGATCCCCTTCGTGCCGTCCGACGATACTGAAGAATTAGATTTGGAGCGCTCTGTGGAACAGAGGCTATCGCTAAATGACAATGGACCCAAGGAACCGTCCAGGGAGGAGGTGGCCTGGGCTGACGAGGCCATTGACGGCCTCTGCGTCTCTCGGAGTGGTCATATGTTTGCGACTATGACGGCTACTTCAATAGCCGTGTGGCAGACAAAAGTATGTCTCGGTTGAGTTATATCTACTTCGACGTGTACATGTGTTGACTGGTCCCTAGCCGACCGCTGTTGTCGCCGCTGTCGCCCGATCCGCCTCGTCACTTAGCACTTATGGTCCGAATGTAGCTTTGCTGATGCACCCCGACTCGACGATAATTGTTGTTCAGACGCTGAACGGATACCTTCTCACGTATACAGTTGCTACCGATCCACATGGTCATGTCTATCAGCAGCATTTCGATCATTCCACCCAAACCCGCCGGCAGCAGCTTGCCCGCGAGGAAGATGCGAATGGCGTCCGGGATGCCAGTATTCGCTTTAGGATGGCTATTAAGATAGAATCTGGAATTGTGAAGGCTCTGGCACTGGACAACGAGCTTGTGGTTGCTACCGTGAAACCTGCGGCAATTCAATGCATTCGATGGATGCCTGATGCGCACGGCGCTCAGACAACCTCGGAATTGCTAAGCCGCATATTGGGCGTGTCTAAGCGGACTTCTATTACCGAGATGGTGTACGATCGTGCTATCAACCTCTTGGTGTGGGTTACGAATGAAGGACAAGCGTACGCAGTTCAACGCGTACCTGAGGGCTCGCGTGATCCTGAGAACCCAAAGAAGCTCTTCAACGGCCACTGTTTCCACAGTCCGAAGAACGACGGCGAGAAAGCGCTCAGGGTTGCCGTCAATGCTCGATTCTCACTGCTTACTGTCAACTGCGCCAACGGTGACATCTTCGTGTATACCGCTAAAGACTACCTTGGAAATGTCCCACTATCTCATAAACTGCAACTCCCAGCATCGCCTCACACAACAGGAAATTTAAACTTCATGTCCTATTCACCGGATGGCTACTGTCTCTTCGCGGGCTACGAACGTGGTTGGACAACATGGAGCGTGTTTGGCAAGCCGGGAGGGAATAGTTTTTCGACGGACAGGTCTCTTGCCGGGACCAATGCCGAGGATTGGCTAACAGGGGTCTCATATGGATGCTGGATAGGTGGAGGCTCAGATATTATTTTGACCGCACAGAATGATCGTCGCCTATGGATTTTGGAGACGGCACGGAGCGCTTTGACGGGCTGCTTTTCATCCGCAAATCTGGCTAGAGGCTTACTACAGACTGGAACCGAGATCATTCTGTATCGAGGGCACGACTTACCCGACCTTATGACTATCTCGGGCAAGGACTCCCTCTGGCATCATGCGCAATATCCCCCGACCTACCTCCAATCGCAGTGGCCAATTCGTTCCAGTGTAGTCTCCCAGGATGGGAGATATGTGGCAATCGCAGGCAGACGAGGCTTAGCACACTACAGTGTCAACAGCGGACGCTGGAAAGTCTTTGAGGACTCTAAAATAGAGAACTCGTTTGCGGTCCGGGGTGGTATGTGCTGGTACGGACATATCTTGATAGCCGCCATTGAAAGCGATGGGTCATACGAGGTGCGTGCCGTATCTTTTCAAGAATGTGCTGGGGAAACTAACTTGTATAGCTGCGTTTATACTCCCGAGAGCTACCCCTGAATAATCAATCGATCTTGCATATTGAATATCTCCCTTCACCCGTGGTCTTCATCGGCCCGTCGGGTGAGGACTCCATTCTCGTTTACACCTATGATAACATCCTATATCATTTCATCATTAATTCCATGCACGCTCGAATCACACTTGTTCCAGTCGGCCAAATTGCGTTTAACGGCATTGTGCGAGCGCCCACCCGAGTCCGGGCGATCAGTTGGGTCTTGCCGGAGGATCAAATGCGTAAGTGTGTCTATTTCATGTTGGCATGTGGCGCGTCTGACAGCAGCAGGTGATGGCGACCCATCTCAAGATGTGAAAGTAGCATCTGTTCTTCTTTTGGTTGATGGCAATTTGGTTTTGCTACAGCCGTCCCAATCGCCCACCGGGGACTTGAAGTATGACATGCGGGTGATATCGCATGATGTCGAGTACTACATTCTGATGCGTGACCAATTGTCATTCAACTTTGCTCCGCCGATGGATGAGTCTCGTCCAGCCAGCCCATCCGCCGAAATGGTTTTGAATATGCATCATCATAACCTATCATTGAGAGACTCCCTCTGGACCTTTTGTGGCAAAGACCTCCTTGCCTGGGGGGATGTGCAAGATGTCCTGCGACGAGAAGACGTCCCGAAAGCGATCGAGATACCCCTAGACTTTTATCCTCTATCTGTTTTGTTGAACAAGGGCATTGCGTTGGGAGTCGAGTCAGAAATGACCCAACGACGCGATACCACATTTGCCGTGTTGAAGTTTGCCATTCGAGTAAGTCAAACCAGCCTTTGCAATAGCCCCTTAACTAACGATAAAGACACACCTCTTCCTTCCATACTTCTTGCAGTACTGCTTAGTTCATGGAGATATGCCAGCTGCGCTGTCACTGTGTCAACATTTCTCCCATCTTTCATACTTCCCGCACGCCCTTGAAATCCTCCTTCACCACGTTTTGGACGATGAAGTCGACAATGCAAGTCGAGATAGCAAAGTAGAGGACCCTTCGCAGAAGCATGATCCTCTACTTCCGTCGGTCATCTCCTTCCTTCAAGCCTCGCTTCCGGCGCGGGTGTATTTGGACATTGTTGTTCAATGCACGCGGAAGACCGAACTCCGCTCATGGCGCACTCTCTTCGCCTATCTCCCACCCCCAAGAGACCTGTTTGAGCAGGCTCTCAGGCTCGACTCTCTTAAGACAGCCGTCGGCTACCTTCTAGTGCTGCAGGCGTTTGAAGACGACGATGGCTACGAGGCACCCATTGAAGACTACGTCGTTCGACTGCTCGTGCTGGCCTCACAAAAGGGCGACTGGGAGCTCTGCGCCGAGCTGGCGCGGTTCCTCATTGCGCTCGACGGGTCTGGCGAGATGCTCCGGCGGGCTATTGACCGGACGGGCCTCCGAAACGGGGGCCTCCCAGGCGCCGGCTTAAATGGATCCGGAACGAGTGTCAAGGGCCTCGGCCTCGCCATCACACCATCCTGGTCGTCATTATCCGGCGCATCATCCATCTCGCCCCGCCAAAGCATTTCTCGCCAGGGAAGCAACCCATCCCGGACGCCCGACAGAATGGACAGCGTCGACGAAGTTTCCTAACCCATCTGTACATAACATGTCATACATAGCCATAGCCATAGCATAAGTGAATTGAATCGATTAAATGCAATTGCCATTGATAACCTTACAATAAATACATATATCTATGAACGATCATCACTTCATTCCATGCATAGGTATAAATCACTCCCATACCATACCCAAACAACACCTCTCCCCAACCCAACCCAACAATAACAAAACAAAAAGAAAAGAAACGAAAAGAAAAAAACCTAATCAAGACTCATCCTCCACAACCCATCCCCCAAATAATGTCCATCCTCCATAACAACCCCCTTCCCCTTACTCTTCATCTCCTCGGTGCCCACCTTCAACGTGCCCACAAGACACGCCGTCTCCTTCCCCTCCGCCAGCACAGCAACCACCTGGCCCGCCTCCAACGCATGCTCCTTCTCCGGTAGCCGGCCCCCGGGACTCGTCAGCCCGGGCGCCATCAGCGTCGCCCCGGACAGCACGAACCGGATCGCGCCGCGGTCGATCTGCACCGTCGGCAGCGCCGTCGGGTACTGGTGCAGCAGCTTCAGGTGCGGGATCGGGGGGCCGTCTTGCGGTTGGTAGAAGAGGGGTGTGGAGTCGATGGTGTAGAGGGTGCACTTTTCGGGGCTGTTTCGTTTACCTTGTTAGTATGGGTTTGGTGGGGGGAGTGGTGTGGTGTATGTGAGGGGTTGGTTTTATCTATCTATCTATCTATCTATTCCATGTAGATAGATGTGATAATGGCATGACATGTGATTGATATCTCTTTTGTATCGAGGGCGTCATAAGGTATGGACCACGGAAGATAGGAATAAAGGAAGATAGGAAAGGAAAGGAGCGGTACAGTTTCACAGCATCGAGCTGAGCTTTCTTCGGCAGGATGTCATCAATGTAAGGTTCGAAGCCCGGGTATGCTTCTACGAAGCGCTGGCGGAGGCCGCGCTGCACGCTGGATTTCACTTTTGAGCGGTTGCTCGTTGGGATCCTATAATGTTTTAAACATTCATTAATCAGTAGGTGTTTCTTTTTAAGGTAATTTGTTTGTGGTTTCTGGGGCGGGTTTGTTTTTTTTTTTTTCTTT